CATAAATACTGAGAAATATCTATCAAGTGAATTTTGGTTTTTCTGCATTTAATTTCTGTTAAGAATGGTCCATTTTGTTACATCAAAGTGTTTCAGAATTAAATCTTTGTCTTTTTTCTCCCTTTCCAGCAGAAGTAACACTGAAGGGTTACAGAAAAGATAATTTGTCTAACTTGTCTATAAGTTTTCAACACTTTATCTTCACAGTTGGTTCAACATGGACACAGCACTGATCTGACTTCACTGGACAGAAACGGAAAGGAAAATAAATGTTTCTTCATAGTACTTTGACCTTAAAATACCACAAACACCATCCATCTTCTTGTGTTATTTGTGTTATTTTCAAATTGAATCACTCAGCACGTCAGGTCAAAAAGTCAGAGGCCACCATTTTCTCCCTGCTAACAGGATAGAAAGCTTTGATAGGAATGAATATTTGCTGATTTCTTAAATAATGTGATTTTAGGCTCTCGTAAGCACCAAGATTTTAATTTATATCTGAAGTATTTAAAATGATACCTTATTTTTAATGGAAAATATTTACCGCTTTCCACCCCTGTTAATAATCAAATTACTTCTGCTTTCTAGGCAGAGAAAAAGTTGAGTTTGCAGTCCATTTTTACTAAAAACCTGATTTGTTGGTCATATTCTTTTCTCACTGATATGAGTAGGCAAAACTCCCTTCTCTGCCAAGAGGGCATGCCTAGGTCCATTCCTTTCATAACAGTGCTGACAAAGATTGTCTTTGGTCCAAGAACAGTATCTTCCAGGGTCACTTCAAGTTCTGCCTAGTTGAAAAATTTAGCAATAAATGTCATGTCATTATTTCCAGATAATGAAGAGTTACTGTGCCTGAGGGACCACTGCAGAGCTGTCGGCATTGGTAGTGTGTAGCACAGGTTTGCACTGAAGGCGAAGGCATTGGGTCTGCAGGCTTGTCCCCATGCACATCGGCTGGTAAAGGGAGGCAACACCATGTAGAATGGTGCTGAGTTAGACCACTGTGAAAGTCAGGAGATGCTTTCTCTTTCTCTATTTCCTTTCCTTTTCTTTTTTTTTTTTTTTTTTTTTTTTTTTTTTTAAAAAACATTTGAATGGAACAAGGTTTTGAAAGAAATTCACAGTAAAAGAGCAAGAGCTACTCCAGAGTAGTCAATGGCCAGTTGTTGGCATTTGCTGGGACCAAGTGTATTTCAGGTTACGCAAGTTGTAAATTTGATCAGATTAAGTAAAGACTATGAGTTTCCTCAGGTGTCTCTTGGTCTCATTTTCTGTGTCTGTCCTTCCCTCTCTGCTCCTCAGCTTAGAAAACATTCCCGATAAAAGTTCTATCAAAACAGCACTCTCCCATGGAATTTCAGTTCAGATGAAAATGATTTTGCTGATAAATTCCTTGAAATTCCAGAAATGTGAAGTGATTTTACCTGAAGAGCAATTTATTATAGACATGTTACCTATTAATTGAGATAATCTCCAACAATGATGATGAACGGAGATGATCAGGGATTGTACTTTTAAAATGCCATTCTGACTAGAAAAGCAATTTGAGATCTACTTACATCTCAGTAATGAAAATTGGGTAAGGTAATAAGAGATTCCATTTTGTGAGTGAATTGACAATGCAAATACCAGGATTTTTAATTTAGGTTTAAGTGGAGTAATGGCTACTCATTCTGATGCATCATTAGTCATATTGCTTTTTAATGAGAGATTCACTTTCTTTTCCTGGTTAGCTCTAACACTGATAGCAAAGCCCAATGAATGCCTACATGTTTAGGGAGGTCTGATGAATATATATCACTGCATGATTTTAATTTAAAGAAGGAAGAAAAAGCAGTTTTCCTTCAATGGTAAAGAAATGCACATTTGCTTTTAGTGCAAGGAAAAGAAATAGTGCAGAACTGTGGTAGGCTGCTGTAAAAAATAATTAGAGTAAGATATATTTTGGATATATATATATATTATGAAATTCTGAAAAATATAGAAGGAAAATTGCATTGAGTGGAGTGCTTGTGAAAAGGAGTGACTTTACAGCTGATGGCGGTAGGAAAAAGAGGTTCTTTGGCCATCTCCAATACGGATATGTTATAAATAAAGGCAGATGAAGATTCTTCTTGCCCTACCAACCCCACTCCATGCCCCAAACACCTCATTCCTCTTCTGGGTATATCTCTGTTCACTGGTTTTGTCTTAGATTTCT